ATACAAAAGTGTATATTTTATTAATACCACAACTACAAATACTGTTGCAATCAATCAGTATGATGTAGTATGAATGTATCACACATGGGCTAATCAGTTTCTCAGTCTGGTATAAACCTTGTCACTACCAGACTTTCTCGTCCAAATTATTCTGCACTTTTTTCTTGTATTCTTCAATATTTCTGGAAATGAACCATAATTTTGAAGCCAACAAACAAAATTTTAATAAATTTCCAGTTTTCTCGAAAAATTTGGCTATTTTTGTCCCAATCTTCTGAAGGAATCTGCAGACTATAAACAGGATTATTTTGAGAATTTGTGACGAAAAGAGGCAACAGGTGGTGAAAAGGTTAAACTGAACCAACTGAATTGTACTGTTCAATGGAGTACTGTCAATATGACGTGTGGAGGTGTTCTTTACATGCCTGAATAGTTTATGATACACTATATAAACATATTGATGTATTAAGTGCAGAATGTATAAGGTTTAAAACTTAAGTATACACATAGTGTAATCAGTATTGATGTATAAATGACAGAATTATAAATGATTGTACATAGTTACATCACAGTGAAATACCATGTATCAGCCCACATTTTCAATGGCTGACAATGCTACATGTCATCTTGAGTCAAAAGCACAAGTACAAATGTAATTTTGTTTGTTTTTCAAAATTAACTTCGCTTCATAATTCTTCCGTGTTCTTCACAAAGTATTGTCTGTCCAGCTCTTTTTTTATCCAAGAAAAAAAGGCAGCGTGTATTCAGTACTAGTTAATAGTAATGTAATGGCATTATGTCAATGTATGCTGCGTAGTTTGCAATAGAGTGGAATTATTTGTCTCTCAATAGCGCGACATGATTTTAGCAAGGCAATGTGGGCTGATACACTATATTTCATAAGGCATGTTGTTAACGATAGAATACGATGTTCTTAATCACAAAAATTATAACATTAATTAAGATAATATCATCTGCATCTATTTGCATAATTTTAACAAATCTTACTAAGTGACAGAACCTCACTACAATCAATGAAACTCTATGATGGCAGAAATCATTCTGAGTTTGACCCTTTGACCTATGAACACCAAAATTCAACTTTTGTCATCTTCCACAAAATAAACCTAAATAATTTGGTTTGTATTTTTTTTCTAAACACAGACAATGGAAAATAATGTCTATTTGGTTCAAAATTAATAAAGATACTACAAAAAATAATTTAAAATGTGCAAACTACTGTTGGAAAAAAATATGATGTTCAAAAAGCAAAGGATTCACCCTCATGAATAAAACTAAATAAATATATGCAAATAAGAACAGGTGAGATATATGAAGATAACTCATTGAGTCTGAATGAATGAACAAAGTGATTAATAAAACAAAAACAAAAATCTTATATATTTGGTCTGAAAAACCCTCTTTTTAGGTGTAT